CCTGTGTCCCCTGTCCCAGCAGATTTATACAAAACCAATGATTTGTCCCAGTTTTATACAATGTCCCAGGTGCTCCTATTTTTAACCAATCTGATCCCTGCCAGCAATAAAGAGAGGCATAAATTGTCATTTGATTATGTAAAATACAGAAAGCTGCTTAAAAATCACCAAAACACAAAGAAAATATGACTATACTGACTCATGTTGGTCATGAATGGACCAAGTGCGTAACAGTTTTCCTCAATTACGCACTTGTTTCTCAATTTTATTATTATAAACCACACCAAACCGGCGGTGTCCCAGTTTTTGATTTTGAAAATTTGGTCAACCTGCTGTAGCAGAATCTGGTTTCCTGCTCAGACAAAATTAGCCAGCTGGTAGATCAGACTTTTTTTTTCCAAATACAATGGGGAAAATGGCTAAACATCACATTCTAAAATAAAAGCATTGAGACATGACAGGTTCTACAGTTGCTGTGGTTTCAAAAACACATCCAAGTCATTCAAAAGCTTGAAGCTCAGTAAATGCACCACTGCCCTCTACCCCCACACTGTAATTGGACTTTTCCTGAGAAACCTCTTTACCATGGATCTAAACTTCCATGAGTAGTACCAGACTAGAGATAGACAATATATCAGGCCAATATTGGAATTTTTAGCATATCAAATATCGGTCTTAAATCTCCAGCACCAGCCGATATTTTGTTTTGGTCGAGTTGTTGCCTAGAACATACTCACAATGCATTATTTTAACACTTTAATACAAAGAGATAACTGCACTAAACATGACTACACAGCTCTCTTAAAGTTTTCTGGTAAAAAACAAAAATAGCTTTGGGTGAGTTTCCAATAAAAAATTACATAATTCAAGGAAAATAACAAAAATCTGTCCTATATATCAGCTCTAGAATATCAGGAGAGATTATCGGCCATTGATTGCTCTGGATTGTAAACAATCTGTATCAGCATTGGCCATGAAAAAACCTGTATCATTATTTGAGCCAACAGTGAGGTCAAAATGTTTATTTCCTACATTTGAATTTGGTTCAGATTTTATGGATCAACTTTTTCCTCGTTGTGGTCCCATTGTTAATCCTGGCACACTGTAGCAAACCATTAGCCTTTCTACCTTCTAGACATGAATGTTTTGCTGGGTGAAGTGTAATCTGAGCGTGAGGGTGGGGGAAGAGGGCCATTAGGCGTGCATTAGCCCAGCACCAGAGCAGACAGACGGCTGGAGGAGGCCAGTGCACGAGCTGATGGTCTGAAGAGGATTTCAGGGGGAAAGGACAATGGGGCGGAGGATTACAGGAAGAGTGAGAGGGATTGAGTGCTTTAGTAAGAGCATGTGAGGGGGGGCTGACCCACAAACGGGACACGGCCACGCCCTCAGAAAAGTTAGTTTCATGATCTGAATATTGTTGTCAAAATCCATGGCACAGGGAGCTGGAAATTAATATTAAGAGAAACTCCAGACATAGTGTTAGAATAAGCAACGTTTAAATCAATCTAAACGGTTTTGGCATAGACACTGGGTACAAACTACACCTTTTTGCCATGTGTCATTGTTTAAAAATACATTTTAAGTTTAAAAAAGAGCATTTTGTATGTCTACAACTCACTGGGGCCATTGAATATTGTTTTTTATTGGATTGTAATGAAAAGTATAGTAGCTCAAGCTACAGCACAAGCAGAATAGATATATTACTGTGAGGTTATTATTGTTTCCTGAGATTTGGTTACAGAGACCACTTATCATGTCCTTCATGTCATCGTAGGCTATATTACCGCAACTCTCCACTATTCACGTTAAGTATTGACTTGGACCTGACCTGGGCATGTATTATAATGTGTGGTCCGGACCTCCACCTCACGCCTAGATTCAAATATGAGAAAAAAAGGCCATCCCTGTTTTACATCAGTTACATATTTGGTTCATAATTTTCAGTATTTTTGTCTGACAGGTCTCAGAGGTTTATGCAAACATGCAAAAGGTTAGGCTCCATGAGATTAAATTTAGTAGCTGGTAGGAAACTGTCTGTAAGTGTATGTCAGTGCCTGCCTGCAGAGTAAAATGCTGAGAGGGCCATATCTCGCCTGGTCAATTATTTATGAGAGCAGGAGCTGTGGGGATGATGGAGAAGAACACAATCTTCTATTTTTCTTGATTTCGCTTTAACTCTTCTCATTCTATTCTGTCGTTGGGGCATTGTAAAATATCCAGAACCAGCAAGACTTTATCTTTAAGTGCATTTTCATATTCAGTGTGTTTTGTTGTTGTCTTTTACAATAACATGTAAAGCATTCATGCATACTGATCAACCCAAGTAAGAAACACATGAAAGATTAAAGCACACAAGACCAGTGTCCAAAAATCCTCTAGTTTATTTAATAAATGTTTGTTGTAAAACATTCAATAAAAAATGCTTCTACTTTATTGCTCATTTTCTTCATTACACTAAGACTTGCTCTGATGCATAATTTTTCCAAAGCACTCTCACGGGGAATATGCTGCTAGTTAAATGTCATAATAGTTACAACATACATACATACATACAACACAAAATTCAGAAAATATCAAAACAAGTCAATAACGTGAAACAGAAATAAATGGACATGGGCAGGCCTGCCACCTCAAATCGGACATATTGTTTTTTAAAAGTGGAGGAATATTGAAAGGTTTGGGCCCAAGCCACTAAAAAGTCCCGGATCATGCATTTATCATGAAGCTTTCCTGGAATGTCACATACAATCTAATCACAAAGCTGCAGTCAGGCGACCTACTCCAGTGTTAACAAGCTAAACAAATAGCATACCACAGGTAAAAGGGTGAAGTGCATATTTGCAGAAGTAAAATACTATACAACAGTGGGACTTTTCAAATGGCTTGGTCTTGATTCCCAGTATTTTTAGTTGACATTATGATCTTACGTTATGCAAGCATTTGTCTTTGGGGATATGGGTAAAGTAAAATGTACATTATGAAAGTGACCCGAGATGATAGAGGCTTCCCTGTCCCAAGTCGTTCGGAGATTCCCACACCCCCTCCACAGCTCGCCTCATACACATGCTCAGTAGGGACTAGAGTGGACTGCCTCAAATGGTGCCCTAAAGCTGCCTGTGCCATGCAAAGGAAGCCCAGTTTCCACCACCAGTAGTTCAATTCCTTACAGAATGTTCGGGCACTTCCTAAATTATTCAATCATTTACAAAGAAATCTGATATTGTTTGAAGAGCAAATTTAGCCATTTAAAACAACTGACTGTATAAAGAAATGGACTAAGTGTGTGTGATTCACCTACAGTGTTCAGCTCCAGTCAAATGAAGCTCACGATGCTAGCAGTTATACAGCAGGAGTGAATTTGGAGCCAGGAATAGGAATATATTAGGAATATGAATTTATTTACACACTAAATAGCGAAATAGAAACACCAGGATCATGTAGAGTGGGTTAATAAAAACATTCTAAGACCAAAATGATGAGGCTCACTGCAGCAGTTACAGAGAGAGCAGCAACAACTTTCCAGTGCAGTCGATCGAGCGAGAAGCGCCTCCATGAACAATTTCTATTTGGAACACGGTAACTCCATTTACATATACAGTCTGTGTTTAAAACCAGATGATTTATAGCTCTGACGGCATGAAGCTAAAACCTTTTAACAACATGGCAAACTTTGCATATACCAAATGAAACTTTTATCTAGTCAGTTATTACACTGGCCTATTCCAGCTTCACAGAAAAATAAGGATTAAAAGTTTGCAACAATGAAATGCAATAAGGTGATTTACTTGAATTTAACTAAATAGAGTAGCAAAACTGTAAAAAAATAGCTCAGTTTTTGTCAGTACTAATTCTATATATATATATATTGGCTGTCAAATGGTAAAACCTATTTGTATTCACAGAAATATTTTGTGTATAGGTACCCCATCTCATTAATACTTGGTGGTGGAAACTGATGCAAATTTAACACTGAAGTCTACATTATATCCAAATAAAGATATATGCACTCACACACAGAGCAGTAATGAGGTCAGCCGTGATGCTCATGCCACTTACATTCTGTTTAAGGAAACCGTGTACAAGGCAGTAGACGTGATACTGTGTGGAGTAATGCGGGACAAAGAGGAGAAACAAAATGGCTGCACTCACAAACCAAAGATATCCTCAATAAATAAATAAATAGTCAATAAGTTAAAGGGCTCCATCTGTACATGAGAGAGCTGTAGCGTGTGTACATTTGTTGCGTTGGTTTAGCTTGTGTCGAGCATCCTCTGGGACCGTAGCTAAGGGAGGGACAGGAACAGTAAAGGGACGCCGGGGGGCACCCATGGGACCTCATTCCGACTCACAACACAAACATTGAGCTGCTAGGACACTCTCCCAGAACTACGTAGTGACCCACAAGCCAAACAACGCTTCTCATAGTCACCATGTAAAAGCCGCTATAGGCCATGCTAATAGTGGTGTGATGTATGATAACATAATGGGCCAGCTAGGACAACGCAATTAGCAATGCAGTTAGGAAATGATTTGTTGTGATTCTTTTTTAATAAACTAACCGAATGAGTCAAATTGTAAATTAATGGTTCTACTATTAGGGATGCACTGTTCCCGCTTTTTCTGTTTTGATACCATTGTCGATACTTTGGCTTTATGTATCTGCCGACGCCCCGACATCAGCCGATATTAGGGCAAACTGAAAATATAAGTTATTTCCAAACAGCATATGGTAAAAAAAATATCTGAATGTGTTTTTTAACTGTTATTTATCATTTAAAGTAATTTTAGAACAGCTTTGAAAAGTATTTGTCCAGAAAATTATTACCAATTTATAGACAAAATGGGATATCGACTGAACCAATATCCGATCCGAATTTTCAATATCGGCACTGATATCGAATACCAGTATCGTATTGGTGCATCCCTATCTACTATAACGCTTTATGACAAGTACCAAAAATGAATACCCCGTGATTATAAGCAAAACATAACTGTAATCATGACACATAAGGCATACAATGTATCTTGAGGCAGTTACAATGCACTGATTCAGCGGCGCGCTTTTGCATTTTGAGGATCCAAATTGTTACCGGTACGTCATATATCCTTTTAGATTTGTACGAAAGTTAAGGAAGCATTTTTTTCCGACTTCAAGAAACTATTGATGCTCGTATTGTGTAAAGGAGAGTTTTGCTAACCACTTTGGAATGTTAAAAGCTGATAAAGTTCTCTGAGTTGTTGTGTCAGACCCGCTGCTAGTTTTATATATATTTTCTCTTTAGCTTTTATTTTGCTACTGCACCGCCTAACCAAAGAATTCATTGGTTGCACTTTATAATAACAGCCTTAATAAACCATGAAGAAAGATTAAATTCATAATTAACACATAAACAGGCCTAGTTTATTAATAATGCTTCAGACTTAATTTCTGATTTATAAGAGTTAAAGGTTAAAGTTAAAAGATATACTAGTAGTTGCCACATTAATAAAGTAGTTAACAAGCCTGAATCATTCTTAATAAGCAATAAGTCTTTCTTCAGGCTTTATTAGGTATACTTATTATAAAGTGTTACTGATTAATTTTTAAACTAGGACACTCAAATCTATGTAAATGCACTAATGGTCATAAAACCTTAATAGTACCAGGTCTGTTGACCAAATTGACCCTAACAAGCTTCAAGTATCAAAACAAAGTAATGTATTTGTAATTAAACAGAATTAAACTTGTCCAGAGTGTGCATAAATATCTCCATACATGGTAAAAGGGTAAGGGTGTGTGCCGTGGCAGCAGAGTAGTGCATGTTTACATATCATGGAGTGTACAAGTGTTTCAAGGGAAAGGACTATCAGCTGTTGTACATTCAAGGTGAGACGTTATGTAGGTAATGTCCTGCAGGGTCAAGGGTCATCTGCAGGTGTGTGAGGGCAGCGAGGTTAGAGTTGAAAGGTCACCGTGGGTGGTGGGGGGTGGGGATGTTCCTAGAGGATGATGCATTTCCCCTTCTCCACCCAGGGGTTGTTCTTCATGAGCTCCTGGTTGAGGAATGGATCATCGGGGACGCCCTCCTCAATCCACTTCACCAGGCTATTTTTGGACATACAGAGACAAGAATGTAAGACTTATGAAATTCCGGCCAACAGTTCAACATCACTCTTTTCGTTTCCATACTAGGGAAGGAGTGAGAGGAAGATGGAATAGGTTACTTAAAGGTTTAAAGGTCTACCTCTAAAAAAAGAAAGATGCTATCAACTTAGAAATGTTAGATCAGAAAATGGATCTATGTGGACTAAAAGATTGTACAACTCGAGCCAGTCTCGATATCTGAGAGCATAGCTGTATGACAGATTGTATTGGATGGCCTGAAGCGGACCAGTGATCCAGATACATAACCATCTCAGATCCAAGCTTCAGGACATGCTCGCTACAGTTGTAATGAAACCTCAATTGAAATTGTGGTTTGAACTGCAGCAATTAGCATATTTTAAGACTGAAGATTATTTTGATAATTTGAAAAAACACTCCATCTCTGTTGATCTTACATGGTAAATTAGATCTGACAATGTTGTTGTATTTGTAGTTTTTCAGTTTTCTAAGACTAAATCTTGAATTTAAAACCTAAATTAAAAAAAGACACAAAAATCACAGTATTTTTTTTTCCTTCTGAGCCCTGATGTGTACAATACTACAATAATACTGACATATTGTATTCTACGCCACTCTAAAACAATATAAACAATCTCAAATCTGGTTTCTAATGGACATGAATACCAACATAAATGCATCTATCGGATTACAACAATCAGCTTGTTAATAATTCTATAGGAAAAAGCTCCCATGGAGACTCAAGTAGCTCCCACGTCAGCATAAACAGTTGTGTGACTGGTAATAATTAGACTGTGAGCTGTGAACGCCATGTTGAAAATCAATGTGGGGTTCATTTGACTACAGTTAGATCAATAATAGAATCAATGACATTTTCATCATTGTCAATGCATTTTCATGACACAAAAAAATCTGATCAGTATCTTATTTTTCCGAGTTGTCTTTGTTTTAAAGAATCGGAATGCACAGGAAATAGAAAAACCTTGTGCAGTTCAAATGTACAGATAGACTTAAATTTAAGTAAAGTAGTGAAAACTAAAAGATCAAGGTCTGCACAGTAACCTACGAACATTTTGTTTTAGTCTATAAACAACAAAGCTAATTTAGTTTCAGTGATATTAACTTCTGTTTCTGTTTTTCCATTTACCTCGTCAGTAACTTGTAACATTTAGTGTACTGTTGGCATACTAATTCAGATTCCCATCGCAACTGTCTGACATTTTTATTATTCTTGTGTGAGCCAGTACAACTCACTCAGTGACTGTTTTGGATGATTTCTCCCTCTTGAAGGCCAGTTGGTACTTGAGGCTCTCCACCTCCTTCTTCATCTGGGGCAGGTCCATCTCATCCATGTCTGCAGCTGTATGTAGGTTTCTTCCACCTGGACACAAGGGTAAAGCAAATCATTATCGAAGTGCAAAGACCAAAATAATTAATCCAGATTTGCAGCTCCATACTGCAGCTCCTGGAATGGACAATACTATCATAATGTGTTGAGGGTTTATGTCTCTGAGTCCCAAACTAATTTTTTTCAGTGTTATAACTCTTGCCTTATGCTTCTCTTCAGCTCTCAGGCTACTTCAGTTTATAATACAACAATAGGGAAATTTTGTGTGTGCGTTTGAACCCTTTTTTCAATGCCACTGGGGCAAACTGTCAGACGCAGTGTGTAACCGCAATGCAGCGATCTAGATCTAAGTTGCTGAGCATTGGGCTGCATATTTCATTTTGAGGAAAATCAGCCCATTTAGTGGAACTGTGTCTGAATGGACAAACTCAACCAATAGAAGCTACGAGGTGTGGGAATCAAACCCAGGACCTTCTGGCTGTCAGGTTTAACTGCGAACTCTGTTGTTACTTAATGCAAAAATACAAAAATATCATGATCTACGGCATAGGTTTCCCTTCATTTACACCTTTCCTCAATTAAGATCTAAAGAGTTATTATGTCATTACAGGCCATTATAGGCACTGACATGTGTGTGTCCTTAGTGCTCGATTCATCACAGTAGCTCATATGAAGGTAATTGCTTTGATTTAAGTGCCTGACATAAAAGCTCTGACCAAGGACATAACCCCCCTCAACATCAGGTGAGTTGTATTTTTCATTCATCCTGGAGAATTATTGAAGGTTAAGTAAAATGCACTCCAGGTGTACATACATTTTAGCACTTTTAGAATACTTGACCACTTCAAATGATACATACAAAATGATGTTTTAAAGAACAAGTAAATGAGTGCACTGAAGTGTGATTAGTATTCCCCTCGAGCATGCAGCAGAGACAAATGTGTGGGTAATATGCACTTCAACTGACCGTATCCATTTCATCCACACTGCAGGTACTGAGGAAATGCAATTAGCCACAGACTTAACCCACTATACAAAGACAGACGGCCCCATTTCTGAGATGGCAGAAGATACTGGCCTAAGTTTCCATAAAGGTGGTGATGGATAACGAAGTATAATATCACACTGTATCATATGACAGATGATGTGATTGTTTGAACTTTATAACTGACTTTTTAAAGTGAAATGTTTTGCATTGCTGTATGAAGCACTTTGGAAACTGTCTTGATTATAAAATGTGATATACAAATAAAGTTGGATTGGTTTGGAGTTGGAAAACAAAATATATTGTATGGGTGACTAAAAACTTTTGCAACAGTTCACAAGTTTAAAATGTACATGACAGAAAGATGAATTCTCGCAGTATTTGTGAGTTCACAAACTCACAAGAATCCTTCTGGTCAGGCTTCTGCTGTTAGTAATTGAGCCTAATTTACCAGTGGTTTGGAAACCGAACCAATTTCAGAAAGTCATTCCAGATTGATACATTTTAAGTTAGCAGTGAAATAAGGTTGTAGAAAAGTTTGTTGGCATTTCGGTCAATCAATATTAGACATCAGAAGTACACTGCTATTAGTAGAGCCCGACCGATATGGATTTTGCTGTGGCCGATATAAAACCGATATAATGGGAGTTGGAGCTGCCAATAGCCGATATAATCGCCGATATATTTAGTGATGTAAAAATTCACTGTAAATGTTGAATTGTTTAAAAAACTTAGGTTTGGCTTTGGTGGATTTTAAATTGGGTTTATTTAGGCAACATTTATTGTTATTCTGCCTATTTACATCATATTTACAGACAGTAGGTTGGCTTAATGGCATTTTTGCATCACATTCTAGACACTAGTGATGGGTATTCCAGTTCTTTTTAGAGAACCGGCTCTTTTGACTCGGCTCACTAAAAGCTGCGGGTTCTTTTGGCTCCCAAGCGACTCTTCAGATTGTAGCACGTCTAAAGCAGGACTGAATCAGGACTGAATCAGGACTGAACCAGGTCTAAACCAGGACTGAAAAAGGACTAAACCGGGACTTTTTTTTTTTTTTTTTTTAATTTATCCTATGTACACGCAAATTTCTCAAAGTTTCGTTTTCAGCCGCTGCCGCTGTCAAACTACGAGTCTGCACGCGGCGTGAAGAGAAAAACAGTGAGAGAAAGAGAAAACACGGCTCCTAATCAGGATCAGGCTCCCGTCGTTCGCTTCGAAGAGCCGGATCTAAGAGTCATTTCGTTCACGACCGACCCATAACTAGTAAAGAAACTAGCGCTATTAGCCTTTAGCTGTAAATACGTGTGCGCCGCGGTAATTAATTATATTCGCAAATGTCATAATTCACACCTCTATTCACAGCTCATTTACATATCAGTGCAGGTCCAGTAACAAATATACGGCCAATATAGTCACTTTAATAGACCAATAGAAAACAGCCTGTTTATGTGCGGGAGCTACAGCAGCTAACCCATAACAAATGACCAAAACTAGCTTCAAAGTCGATGTATTTCCAACACTCAGCGCTCACACAGGCTCCTCAGTGTTGTGCACCGCTGCGGGTGTAAACAAACACACGTGAGTGACGCGACTGTGGTGTGTTCAGGGACAGTACGGACACACACAGACAAATGACTCCACAGATAAATACTGATGCGGAGTCACATATTTGGACATTTATCTGTCTGTAAATTGGATTAAATGAACAGAATGTAGAGAGTTTATTTCCCCCATAAATCATTTCACCCCATCCTTGTTGATTAAAACGTTGTGTTCCTCTTATCTCGATTGTTGTGTTTCCTCTTCAACTTAAAACATGCCCATTACGTTATCCCTCCATCAGAACATGAATTGCTTTGCTGGGACGATATGATATCTATTGGAGGAATAGCAACATTAATCTTGTTACAAATGTCAGTGATGTCCTGCTAATGTAATGGAGCTTATATTAGCCACAAAGCTTTCAGTTAGGTTTCACCCACGCTGTGTATCCACTCCACTGTGTAGTCTGTACCCTCTCTCTCCTCTGCTGTTTTAGTGTGAATGAGTCCGACCCTGTCTGGTCTACTCTCAATATCCATATCTCACAGAAACAACACTATCAAAAGACATTATGCAATAGCGGGAGTAAGGGCAGACAACAACTACTCAGACTGCTCAAATCTTCAGAATATGCCACTAAAAAACTAAAAATAAATAGCCAAGATGAAGTCACGTTTCAAGGGCTCAGATTACACAATTTTCCGATCTATGTATGTAAACAGACCTGGAGTTGTGTTTTGTTTCATTCACACATGTTTAACACATAAATCCTGCATATTTAGTCTGAGTTCTTCTCTCAAACAGAAAACACAAACATCATGTGGTAAAACAGGAAGTGCTCCACTGTGTTTTTAAACTCCATGCACCTTCAGTAGAATCATTTGGATCATTTCAGCCCTGGAATTGGACATCTCTAGGAAGAACAGAGCATTTTGAGCTGTGGAAATGCAGAAAGACTAATAATAAAGGGTTACTCAAGCATGTGTGAATGAAACAAAACACAACTCCAGATATGTTTTGATAAGGTAACAACATTTTTAACATGATTTAAAGCTCACAAGAGTCAATTTTGTGTAATAAAGGTTCATACACCTATCCTTCAATACCACTGGTGCATGTATTGAAGGATAGGTGATCAAGAGTATCTAGCTGGAGTACACTACCACCTTTCGCCCACAGTTCATGACAGCTGAAGACACAATAGCTACCCTTTGTTAAACATCTTTCTTTGTGCGTATGTAAATTAGAGTTAGGATGTTGGTTTCCTCATTAAGCCCCAGTGTGTTCATACACTGCTGGTTTACATGAGGGCGGGTCTTTTGTGTGGACAGGAGGAAGACCAGGTGCATTATTACATGACAATACTGTACTGTACTGTGAGTGTGTTTGATATGAGACAGAGATCAGGTTTCACACGAGTCCACAGGCACTTCCTCTCCCCGTCTTTCTCTCTCTCATCGGGTTGTGTCCTGTCCTGAATTTTGTACTTGAGAATGACATTGAAATGTTAAGAAATAAAACCATTGTTGGGTTGTTGTTTGGCTATCCAATCTTTCAAAAAGTTATTGAGTTGGAGGGCCCACAATGACAAGCCTATGTGTAATGTATATTATTTTTTCTGATATCAGATTCTGTATTACAATGCAGTATACATGATGTGTCAAAGGTGTTTTTAGTAGTTTTTTGTCATTTTTAATTAGGTGTGTGTCTGGCTTTGCAGGGGACCAATGAATTAACCATTTATACTATGTTTTAATCATATATTTTTTATAAGATAAGTTTGTAGTTTTCTTAAAGGTGCATTGTGTAACTTTTCTGGAGGGTGGTGGAGGGTCTGTCAAATGTTATTGCTTTGTCTGGAGTGTTTCACAGTATGAAATTAAACCTTTCTATCTTCATGGAGACCAAACCAAACCAAGTTACAGGTCTGTGGAGAGGCAGCCCCGGTCACAGTAAGAGTGCTTCTGATTCTAGGTATTTTTGAGCTATAAAACCACCTGCAATTGAATAAATGTGAAGTAGAAATGGTTAATACCATACTGTGGAACATTCCAGATAGAGCAATGGCACATCCTCAGAAACAAACAGGTGACTACCCACAACCAAAAGTTATATTCGTTGCTTTCTTGCAAAAGGTTAGTGAGATTTTTACTAAATTTGATCCTAATGAAGTTAAAGTGATCCAGTTCAAGGACACTCCAAGTATATTTAGAGGCAAATTTGTTTTTACATCAACAAGACTAAATCTAAATGTTTCCTGTGTTATTTTTAAGACAGTCCTACTGAGTCATAAAACCTGGTCTCTTAGCACATGGCATATTTTAGAGTCTGTGTATAGTCCAGAAACTAAGTATTCAATTACTAAATTAGTTGACAATTTTCTCAAAAACTGATTAGTTGTGATTAACTGATTAAAATGTTTGAGCCCTCCCTCTTTTTTACTTCTCTCATTTGTTCTGTCTTTTCAGGTGTGACAGAATACAAAGCCCTGCAGCTGATCGCC